CTTGGCGTTTATCCTTTTCTGAAGTCCACTTGCAATGTTAGTATCATATTCATTAAGAAAACTGAAAGTCAAAAGTTCATTTAAGATACAAGGTAAAAGTGGTAAAAAACATTACTGAATGAAATGTCATTCTCTGTGATTCTTGAATGTATGGGATTTTATCAATTCAGGAGTCTTGCTTAGAATGGATATCAATAATTTGACATGGTGCAACTTGCAATGGATAAATGTCTAAATGTCAGCTGCCAAGTCAAGAGGATAAAGGGAAAAGAATATATGAGTGAAATATCCCTTATGAACTCATGATTTCTATTAGTCCCTTGAGCTGCATTAAAGTTTATTTTTCCTCACAAGAAGCAAGAAAATAAGAGAAATAGTAATGAACAATTATACAAGTGGGCTGTATCATTTCTCTGATGTGCTTGCACATTCTGAGGATAAATATTGAACATTTGTTCTGCTCATGGTAAGTGTAGTGTCTACTGAATTTACCTTTACTCTTCATATTATTTTCTTTTTATTTTGTGCTGCAAGACCTTACTTTAAAATACTTAGGTCCCATAATGTATGTTTGTAGGAAAAAGAGAAGAGGAGAATTGTGGGACATTTTCAGCTTGAGTGTTCTCAATTTACCGATCTGCGCATTCTAAAATAGGAAAGAATCAAAATTTGTAGCATTGGATCTTCCTAATTGATATATATAATATTTTTAAAGTGCTAATTTATATATTTGCAGATATGCTTAACATAGGTATTAGTTATTACATATGAAAGCACGCTTTTGGCTAACTTGTACGAAAACCCTGATTCTGGTTTTGTTTTGTGACCTAGACTGTCATTCCACTTCCATTAATGCGACATTTATAGGCATATTATCCACAATGCATTATGCACCTGACTGTCTGTCTGAAGGAGCAACCACAAAAGTATTGTTGTGTGGGTTGTCTTGGACATTACAGCTGGTGAGACATGCATATGCATTTTGAACCTGACTTTTGTATATTAAAAAAGTGTCTACATTATCTAAGTAGTGTTTCTGCTTGTGAAGTTCAATGAGATGGGATAAATCCAACTCTCTTCTTTTTTTCTCGAATAAGTAGACAAAATCCAACTTTCTTAATGCCCAAATTTAACATTAGTCCTTGATAGCACTCCTAATTTGAAAATTTTGGTTTCAAACAGACTTGTCAGAAAGTATGTGGTACGCGGAGGCGTAAAACTAATTGAACGGCTGAATATGAGCAAGTCAAGACCCCTCATACTGCTCTGTTCCAAAGTACACTCAGTTTTGTAGGAGCCCATTAGTTTATAGGTGGTGAAACTAGTTTTAGCTAGAAGCAAGTTCTTGTCTTACTATCGTAAAGCACTTGACTTACTACCCAAGTCCCATTAGAATAGCCTGTAGTCATGTTTTTGCAATTCAAACTTAAAATACGTGTATATATGAACTGGTTGATATCTGAAGAAGGTATAATAATGTTCATCTTCGCATTTACAAAGGCTTATTGAACTATTTCTGCTTGTTAGGAAAGTGAAGATGATCTGGAAACCAGTTTGGAAGACTCTCAACGAGATGACTATGAGGGGAACAAGGATGCTGCTAGAGCCTTGATGCGTGTTAAACAAAAGTTAGATGGATATGAAGAAGGTGAAATGAGAAGTGTTCATGGGCAGGTAATCTGTTAACCGGAATAAGGCATCAATTCACACACACTATACACTAATAAATTATTAATCTGATTATTAATTTTAATCCTTGCTAGCCCAGTGATATGTCTAATTGCTCTTTGTTTAATCAAACTTGAGTGCATCATTCTTTACCTTCTACACAAATAATACACACTACTATATGAATGCTCTTTTCAGAAATTGTGCTTTCAGGTTCAGGCAACTCTAATTATCTTTATTTGCTTTCTCTCTTGACTGAAATTGATCAGCAAATTCTTTCCAATAGCTATATGGGTTTAGATTGGTCTCCTTTATTTTTACTATTTTTTGGAAGAGCGGAGGCATTTTTGTAATGAAACTAAACTTATCTTGAGTGCTAGTTAGAAAAGAAAAATTAACAAAGATAGCAGTGTCTTGAAATAATATTGGAACAGTACAAGTCCAGGCAAGTGAGGAGGTAGTTCTATTACTTGAATAGACGACCCTAGAATTGGCTGATAGGGTACTGTGCTTATAAGACGCATACTTTCCTTCTACTCAAACTTGAATTTCCCATTGGTACCTCAATCTATGTTGCATAAAAGAAAGGAAAGAGGTGATAAGTGTCCCCCTTTTTGCAGGTTCAACAACTCATACACGACGCCATTGATCCTGATCGTTTGTGTCATCTGTTTCCTGGATGGGGAGCTTGGCTATGAGAGGTTTCAAACTAGTGGCAGCGCTGATTAAATTTTTTAGGTTCTTCCTTTTCTTTTTCATTTTTTCCTCAGCTTTGATGAGTGTAATCTTGTGCGTGATCTTAGGTTATGGGTGTAATTAGTGTCGCTGTAATGAAATGACCTCATGTAAAGAAGTCCTGTAAATATGTCAGCAACGCCGTCATTTATTCCAACTTAAGCTCATGTTTTGAGTTTCAGCCTCATGTTCGGTTCTCCCCGTGCATCTACAACTAAGCTATCACAATCTCACTTTCAAATAATAAGACAAAAATTGGAATTAGAACTCTTTTTCTCGCGCTTGAAGCCTTGAACTTTAAGCTCAAAACAAATTTATACCCCTCTACAGCGCAATCTTCTTTTTTCTTTTTCTCTCTATTTGTCCTCCCATAGAATTGGCTCTCAACAAGATAGGGAAATGCCTGAAAATATCTTATTTTCTTTTTCTTCTTGTACATATAGAAGAAGAACAACAGGGATCATCTATGTATTTACACATTTATACCTGTCTACAATACCATATAGTATAGAAATTTCTCGAGACAAATAAAAGCCAAAGAATCCTCGTAAAAATACTAACGAACTAGTATTGAACATCAGCAGAGCTGTTATCACGCAAGATGCCACTAATAAGCGATACGGAGTATCTAATTAAATAATTAATAAAGGAATAAATAAATACAGAGTGTCTGTTTCCTCGTTCTCAACAGCTTCTTGGCTTTTACCTCAGCTATTAAGAAACATCTTCGGTGTTCCCTCCTATTACTTCCAAATTCTCCAAAAGTTTGGGAAGAAACAAGATGGATGAAGCAATCAGTAACAACTACAAGGAAAGCCTCCTGCAAGATCAATCCTCTTCAAGAACCAAAAGGAAACTACGTTTGATAATCTGTCTGGTAACTCTCTTCACTCTCATAATTGCTGCTATCATCTCTGCTTCAGTAATACTTAAACAAAAAACAGAGTCCAAATCACTCTCCTTTAACCCAACAAACGCTATTACAGCAGTCTGTGAGCTCATCAGCGAAGATCCGGACTCATGCTTTGACTCTATTGCTTCACTTTACGATGCCCAAATCCCATTATTATCATCTTGGTCCAATGGAGATTCTAGAATTAACCCATCTCGGATCTTTGTTCTTTCGCTTTATGCTTCAAGAATCGAGCTTGAGAATGTCGCTTCCTCAATTGAAAAGATCATTTCAGTCAGCCCCAAGACTGTTGGGGTGTTGAGAAATTGCCAGGGAATGATCAGATTCTCGCTAAAGCAACTCAATGAATCAGTAGTGAGTTTGGGCGTTGACCCAGATGAGAAAATCCTGGCAATTAATAAAGTTGTTTGGGATTTGCAACTGTGGATTGGGGAGGCCCAGGGTCAAGTACAGAGGTGTGTTGATTTATTGGAGGATATTCCTTCGACGGTTGCGGTGAATATTAATGCAGCTCAGCAAAACATGAGGAACAGTAGAGGAATATTGGGAAAAGTGGATGACATTTTCGACCTGTTTTATCCAAGAATAGGAACTGCATTAGGCTCTTTAATTTTGGAATTTGAGTATGGGCTAACTGTTTGGCTCTTTTGCTCTGCGTATTTGCTCTTGGTTTTTCTTTTTTGCCTGGTTTTACGCATATATTGATCTCCATTTAGTTCTATGTTTTTTTACCTTCAGGGGTTGCCAGCTTGTTTACTTCCAATTACAAGAGACGAAGATATAATTTTGCTATCCAGTTGCTCGTATTAAAACGCTTGTTTTCCAATTGTCATTTTTCCGTTGCTGTGACATGTTTAATTAATTCCAAAAAGTGAGATGAAATAATCTTTTTCTTTCTGGTCGTCAAAATAAATAATCGTTGATAATTTTTGGCATGGTCAATTAATAGTTTCCTATATTCACTTACAATATGAATTAAAAAAATAACTCTACAAAGATTTTGTATTATTTTTACAGATCTGTCATATAACTAAAATAACATGAGTAAGAGAATCCCAAATGCTGCTTATGTAACTCTCAGGTTATGGATACGAATACACTTTTATTTGTGGACTGTAATTGGATCACAGCTTTGAGAGCTGAACTTACTCAATTGACTAATGTTCAGCTTTCAGCTGGAGAGCTGAAACAGGTGTTGGAATGTATCTAGAGGAAGCACTGGAAAGAATTTCAAAAGGAGGTGATAGCAGCAGTTTGGAGAACCATGACATACCAGACCTGGCGAGCTCGGAATTACAAAGTGTTTAAGGGTGCTATACTACAATCAGCAGAAGTAGCAACACAGATAAAGAGAGAAATTGTACAAAGAATAGAAGAATTTAGATCGTAAAAAAAGCACATAGGAGTAGAGAGTTTTTACATAGAATACTTAGTACCTAGAATACATGTTGATTTAAAGTTCTTCTGCATATTTGTAATTAGCTACTGTCGGAGGCTTATTGTCAGAGTACCCTTTCTAGAAGGTGGCTATGGAAATAAGTGCTATATAGGTGTATTAATTTGGTTTGTTAATTGTAATATTCACATTGTTTAAAAAAAAAATAGATTACAAAATAAAATTCTCCAATTTGCTGTTTATAAAAGGAACTCAAAATTTCTCTTTTTAGTTATTTATTTATTTATTTATTTAAAGTCAACCATTTGGTTAATAGTCCGCTTAGACTATTCAGAAACTTCTTAGTAGAAGAGTTTACTAGCCCTTGGTTAGTCAAGAATCAACTAATCAATAAAGTATTTCCTACTTGACTTCTTGACATAAAGGAAGAGTGACCAAGTCTCTGGCCGCTCACAATTTAGCACTATCTCTTTCCCCTTAGCACCATATTTTCACTTACCCAGAAAAAAACCTCAAGATTTCAATTCTTACCATGGAATCGTTCTCCCCCAACAAAATCTCAATGACATCAGTTAAAGATAGCCATAATTTGAATGATCAAACGTACTCAAGAAGAAGAAAGCAGCAGCTCAAGTTGTTCATCGCTTTAATCATCTTTTTCATTCTCTTAATCGCTGCCATTATCTCTGTTTTAACGATGATTAAGCGAGATTATGAATCTGAGTCACCTGCCAATAACCCACACAAGGCAATCGAAACCATTTGCTCCCTGACTCCGTACTACCAGGATTGCTTCAGGTACATGTCTAATTTCCTCTACAAAAATAACCAATTATCATCATCATCAAAAATCGATTCATCTAAGATATTCTCCTTATCTCTTCATACTGAAATCAACGAGCTCAAATAATTCACTTCGTTACTCAAATCGAACAATTTCCCTAATGATCAGTCAACCCCAAGTCAATGCGAGGCTTTGTTCAACAGTTCAGTGAGTCAACTGAAACAACGAGAAAAATTTGACAGTAAAGATGAACTTGAGATCTGAAATGATGAGCTGGCTCGAAACTGAGAGGCCCAAAATTGGGAGATGCTTGTATTGGTTGGAGTATGAGATGGAGTTGGATACGAAAAACGCAAGCAATAGCTTAATGATTCTGGCAAATATGAACAAGATTAATGAGATGTTTAACCCATCGATTACTAGTGTCCTGGGTTTTGATTTATTTCAACGCTCGGGGAAAACTATCTTAGCTTTGTTTCTGTCGGATAATGACTTCGTGGGCACCGTATGTGTTTTTGGCTTGCAGTTTACTTTCTTGCTGATTTTGGTATGTCTGCTTTTACGTGTATGGTGATACTACATATGTCATTCAATTTTATGTAGTGTGTAGTACGTGGTTCGTCACTCTTTGAGTTTTCTGGAATTATGAATAAAATAATATGGGTATTTATCTTTATGCTGTTGTTTCATTTGTAAATTCAAGTTATTTAGGGAAGATCACTATTTGACCAAAAAGTTTTAAGTCCTTTTATTCAAACCAATTTAATAAATAGATAAGGGGTGAATCCGAGTTAAAAGTAATGAATTCTAGATCCGAAATTAAGCAACTTAGACGGTATGGGGGCGTGTTCAAGTCAACAAATGCCAAGTTAATGTTCAATGACTAGTAATTAATACGAGGGTGAAAAAATGCAATAAATGTGGTAAATGACATTAAATATAATAAGAAGGAATTTGTCACCCAAATGTTGAATGAGATGGATGATTCCTTCCTCTGACTGCAACGTGTGACAGCAGACAATGGATGTGGACTATGTGTTTTTGGATCTTGTGAGCTAAAGAGGAATATTATGTGATGGAACCAAACAAGAGAGACAAAACAAGCCTTTTGTATATTCTTGATAGTCAACTCTTTATAGGATGTTCTTTCATCAAAGTTCCGAATCCCCTTTTGTTTCCTCTCTCTTCCTATTTATAAGGGATATCCCTAGAAAATCCTAAAAAAGTACAATGTGGGGGAATATTCAACAGAATATTCCTATTCATAATCCTAGGAATATTCTAACAGTTGCAGCCGTTTGCTCTCTACTCGACCTCGGCACTGGTCTCTCCCTTTGAGCGACTCCTCACCACTGAACCGTGCTTGGTTTCGCCCTCGGCCTCAGCTCGTCCGTCTGCATGCGCTAAACTAGACCTAATTTTGACTCATACAGTTATTCCCTTCGCTTATTGAGGTCGTCCTCTTGGGAGTCCTTGATGAGCGGATTTTATGTGCATCTAATCACAAGTTATTCCGCCATGGCGAATGAGCTGAATTGGTCGATGTCGCATTGGTGACGGGTCGGCTCAAAGGTTGTAGTCGGCGTGGTTAACATAGGATGACGTCATGACCACGCGCGTCGTCATTACGCATCTTCCTGATGCAATGCGTCATTTCCAGTGCCACTGTTGCTTCGATCTTAGTGTCAGTGACAATTTCTTGCATCGATCTTGGCGCCATAATACCTTATAAATAGGGTAAGGGTGTTTCAAAAATGGGACTTTTCGAACTTCATACCCCTTTGGCACTTTGCTTGTTCTTCTACTTCTTCTCTAACCCATACTTCCGATTTAATTCTACTTTTCAATTCTAGCTTTCCCATTGATCAAACACTTTCCCGTTGATACCTTTCTTCCGGTTCTACGGTATACACGTTTCTTATAGAAATGACAAACTCCCCTCACTCTTCTGATATAGTTTTCGATGACACCCCTTTATCGGTGGCTATACCTTCAGGTAGTGGCGAACTCACGGTTGCGGAAGATGAAAGTTTTCCCACCGTGGAGGAGATAGTTCCTCAGAACCCGTCAGTCAGAAATGACTTCCAGAAGGAATCTACCCCTGCTCCTGAGCAGGTACTATCAGTCATGGGGTCGAAGCAAGTATCTGACATGCGGTCTAAATTCCGTGTTCCTGCTCACGTCGATATTGTTCAGGCGGGGAACGACTCAATACAAGTTCACCGACCTGGGTATTGCACTTTCTACCAATACCCATTTTTGGTGGGTTACTCTCTTCCTCTTCCTCTTCCCCCACTCGCTGAGGAGTTCTGCCGCTTTTATGGTGTCTACCCGGCACAACTTTCCCCTTACCTATATAAGGCCTTTTTGATGCTGGCGAAGTTTTCAGAGTTGGCCAGTTGCGAAGTCTCCATTCGTCATCTGCTGCATCTCTTCTCGCCTAGTTTCTACAGGGGGACGCTGATTCATCTCCGCCACCGTGGGACTAAAAGATTGGTGACGGGAATGGATGATAAGGCGAACTGCCAGTTCTGGTGCAATTACTTCTTCGTTAGGACCGAGCACGTAGTGGCAGACCCGGTCGGGTTCCTTGAGCAGTGGAACTTCAATCATAAGGGCCTTTTATCGTTCGTCATATATCTTGTTCATCCCTCCTCTTTTTGTTTCTGACTTGCTCGTGTCTTTATACTTTCAGCTGGTAAACGTCCACCTCCCTTGGTTCTTTATCGAAGACTGGGTGACTCGTGTCTTACCTCATACTGTGGGGATTCGCGACTGGATGTCCTTTAACAAGCGGTTCAGTCCCAAGCCTTTGACTAGTGAGTCTGATTCCCATTTCTACGACCCTTTCGCTTTCGTTATAGCTTATCACTGTCTTGTTATCATTTTTTGTTAAACATGATTTTCTATTTGCGCCAGGTCGGAGATCTTCCAAGAAGGCGAAGGCTCCGGTGCCCGCATTCCGCCAGGCAGTCGCTTGGGTTGGAATGCAATTCGTACTGGCCGAGTCTGTACGAGAAGGTCAAACTCTAGCTCCGCCGTTGGGTGATTCCGCCCCACAAGCAGCCGTCACGTCGGCTGAGACCTTCGGTAACCGCGTCCTGCACCTAATTGACGAGTCGTCGCATGACGAGGCGGAGGCGGTACCGAGGAAAAGGCGAAGGGTGGAGACTGGAAGGGTTGGTACTGCTGATACCGAGTCAGAAAGGCCCATTATTTTGGAAGCGAAGATGGCACCCTTACTAGGCATTGGGGCTGCTCCCATACCGGTTGTCGTTACGGAGGAAAGGCCGTCAGAGGTTGAAGGGACCTTCGACAGAGGGGAACCTGCACGAGTAGCCAGGGTCGGCTCATCATCAGCGAACGAAAGGGATAAAACCATCCTCGTAGAAGATGATGGGTCGGGTTCCGATGTCGACCCTGAGGAGGTGCGGATTTTTTAGGAGAGGTTCACCCAAGTGGAGACAAGGACGGAGGGTCCTGATCGGCACATAGTCATCCCCATAGATTACAACCTCTTGGCCAATTCGGAACGGGCGGTGCCGGCCTTCGCTCCTCTGTGTGCGGATTCTGAGAACAGGACGCTACAGACGCTGAGGGATGTGGATCTGTCGTTGGGTATATCTGGCATGGCCTTGCGAGTAAGTTTGCTATTTCCCATGTTAGGTTAGTTTATTTTGTATGTGTAATTTACTTCCGCAGACCTGTCTTCTTTTGAGTGTCAGACCCTCATTATGGAGATTGAGCGTGATTGGCGGGAAGAGCGTAGGACGGCCCTCTTCAAGTAGATGGTATCCAAGTAAGAGTATCGTCCTAAGCATCAAACCCTAGTCGAGTTACTTAGCCAAGACAGCCATTTTCAGATGCTTCGCTACAGGCTCAAGCAGAAGGATGAGGAGCTAAAGGAGAAGGGCGAGGAGCTTATGAGGGCCATCGGCAGGTGCAGCATGCTTGAGGGGGCGTTGAGGGCTAAGGAGGATGAGCTCGATGTGATCAAGGGAGTGATGGTCGAAAACACTGACCTTCGGCGCAAGTGGCGTCTTTAAGGGTCGAGCTCGAGCAGAGCGAAGCAAGGGCCGTCAACTTGAAGGGTGAGTTGATCACCAAGGTCGAAGAGTTGGGCCGAGCTGAGAAAGCAAGAATGACCGCCGTGGCGGAGGCGACAGACCTAGGGGGCGCCCTTCGTGTTTGCAGGTCTGAGTGGGCTAGTGAGGCGAAAACTTTGGCGCTCAAGGAGGCAAGGTTTGAGGAGCGGATTGGGGGTTTGGAAGCAGAGCTATCTGAGCTGAATGAGCAGGTTGTCGCTCTAAGAGCCGAGAAGGCGCAGCAGTAGGCTCGGCCATTTGCATCTCATACTTCCGCCGATCCCGGTGTGTCACGGGAGTTGTATAAAATGTGGGTTCATACTGAGGCCCAACTTGATATATACAGGTCTCTGAAGACGGCTGGGAATATTTCCGAGGCGGAACTTGATGATGTTCGTGTCAAGGCACGTGCAGCTCGTGAAGCTTGTGGTTATGATCCCGGTACGCCCGGAGGAGACGATGATGAAGACGCCTTAGATGGGCTTGCCTCCGACCCTTGGTACAATGATGAGTATGCTGGTGACGTTGGTGATGGGGGGATGATGCGGGGTGAAGTCTTTGTACCTGGTTTTTGCTTCTTCTTTTTTGTGTTTTGCTGTTTTTGTGGGGGCGTCTTTCCAGCTCTTTGTAAAAATGTATTGGATTGGAATGATTGAAATGGAACAGTTGTCTTTTGCTATGTATTTCTAGCTCTTCTTTCTTTTCTTTTTGCGAGTGTTCTTTTATGAGAAAGTCCCTGACTTTCGGTTCGATTCGAGGTCATCGATTCGAACGAGGTTGAATGTAAGTTAATTCGAGCGAGATTGAATGTAAGTTAATTCGAGCAAGGTCGAATGTAGAACGATTCGAACGAGGTCGAATCCATATTGGTTCGAACGAGGTCCAATGTAAGTTAATTCGAGCGAGGTCGAATGTATATTGATTCGAACGAGGTCGAATGTAAGTTAATTCAAGCGAGGTCGAATGTAGAGACATTCGAACGAGGTCGACTGTATATTGATTCTAACGAGGTCAACTGTATATTGATTCGAACGAGGTTGAATGTAAGTTAATTCGAGCGAGGTCGAATGTATATTGATTCGAACAAAGTCGAATGTAAGTTAATTCGAGCGAGGTCGAATGTAGAGCGGTTCGAACGAGGTCGACTGTATATTGATTCGCACGAGGACGAATGTAAGTTAATTCGAGCGAGGTCGAATGTAAGTTAATCCGAGCGAGGTCGAATGTAAGTTAATTCGAGTGAGGTCAAATGTGGAATGATTCGAACGAGGTCAAATGTATATTGATTCGAACGAGGTCGAATGTAAGTTAATTCGAGCGAGGTCGAATGTAGAGCGACTCGAACGAGTCGAATGTATATTTCCTTTGCGTTGGCGTGATGTGCAAATTTGGTGGAGGTGTAAGAAATACTGCTTTGTTTATTCATTTGAAGAATATTACATTTCTTTTCGGTCCGTACATACATTCGAGGAGTCCAGTCTATCTAGTCCCTTCATCGCTCGGCCTAGAGAAGTAGTTGATAGGCGGGGCGATGAACTAAATACTTAAACTCCGAGACGCCCCCTTCGTCGCCTCATTAAAAACCTCCCCG